ATACTTACAGGAATGCAGTATTCTCTGAGACCTCTGTCTCCATTAAATGTAGTTGAAATTGCCTTAGCAGACATTAAAGGAAAAAGCAGGACGTATGTGAACAGCAGTTGTAGGGGGTACTTGTGTGCTACTCACAGAAACCTTCTTTCCTTTAATAGCAGAACAAGCATCTTTTTGCTGTACTCCTGAACACTGTGGATAATTACAGTTTGTGAGGAATAGATCAATTTGCTGAATTTTGTTATGTTGCTTTGCATTTTAGATGATCTTTTGAGAGCAGGGCTATTGGTAGAAGGCATTCAGCTGTGGCAGTATTCTTTATGTGTTTGTGTTCTTGGCTATGCAGGCTCCAAGCAGCAGAATCAGGGCCATTTGCATTTGATCATTTCTGGTGCCAGACTCGAAGACCAGAATTTCATAATTCATAGTTAAAGTAGCTATTTGAAGTCGTTCCTGGTGAAGCCTTGCTGCATGCATTTAACAGAACAGGCTCAAAATAAAGAAAGGTTGACGAAGTATAAGGAGAATTTTCCAGTACACTTATCTTGAAGTAGAGCATCTGTCATGTTGATTTTACAGGAAGGCTGCTAGAATATAACTAGTAAGATTTGTACGGGAAGCAAAAAGTAGAAGCTATCTCAATTTTTTATCTTTCTAAATGATAATGGGCAATTAGTGTTATTTGTGCTGTTTTTAAACTAGGTTTTTGTAGTGTTTATTCTAAGAAAGAAAGGAAAGAAGAAACAAAACCCAACAAACAAAACTGTTGTTGTATCTTGAGTATTATTTTAAATAGTCACTTGTTTCAGTGACCAGCAAAGCTACTGAATTCAAAATAAGCTACATGTGCTTCAGAACTTAAAATTATGAAGAAAAATGTGAACAGAGACTGTGTGCTTTCTTTTGCATTAGCAGATAAACAAAACATAGAAGATAAAATTACCTAGAAAATATTTTGCTAGTCTTACAGTTTCCCACTTAAAGTTACCATGAATTTCTTCCCGTTCTGTGGGATATTTGATATTTGAGCAGTAGCACTCAAGCTCAGGAACATTTGTATGACTGCCTCTGCTAGAAGCAGAATGGAAGTTTTGAGTAGCAAGCTGAAGGTAATTGGTTATGGTAATGTTCAGGTTTAGAAGCTACTTAACTCTGTGCCTTCAAAATTGCTTTTCTAGACCCACTGCTTAATAGCTAGCCTTCTACTGAGCATGTTTCTGAGATGCTGTTTGAATGCCAGCTGACACAAAGTGAAGGTTAATTGTGTTTGAGGAATAGCTGTGTTTTACTCTTCCTGCAGGGAGACAAATGACAGTATTTGCAAGATTTGAAGACCCTGTCTGAGTCTTCCAAGGGGAAGCCTTTTCAGTCGATTTCTACCACACCACTGTATTCTGTCATGCAAATTTATAGAGTACTGGTTTCTTCTTCATGGTGGGATATATAAAGATCCTAATTACCATCTGGTTCGAGGAGCTTGCAGGGGCCCACATGAGGATCTCTTAGGACAGAATGGGCAAAGAATGTCAGTAACATTGCTAGAGAAATGTTGAAAAGTGGTCTTTCCATTCTGTGTTGAGGAGAGTCTCATAAAAGGGAGAAATTTATTATGCCTTAAATACAATCTATAGGAAATTCTGTTTCTGTCATCTTTAAAAATATATTTGTGAACAGATTACACTGTGCCTTTATGTGTTGTATTCTTCAACGTACATATGTGGCTAAACACTGTTAAATGCTTTCACTTGAAGTAGAACTTAGTTTCATGTTAATACCTGACTTTGCTCTACTTAGAGGCTTTCAGCTGTAAATGTTAGGTGTTCTCCTCCTGGATGTGGTTTTTAAATTATTGGGAATGTGTTTCTGGAGTATTTTTCTTTTAATAACTCAGAGGAGTTCGAGCTGATGAGTTTTGCTGTGAGGTGCAAATGGCCACCCCTTCCCTTCCTGTACAGATCAGAGGCTATTGTGATTCCTCTTCAGGAATAAACCGTCCTGTGATGAGAGAAGTGGGAACATTTTCACCACTCACTTCATCTTAGGCAAGACACATTTTTTAGCCTTATCTGGAAAAACAAAATTTCTTCTGCATCTTCTGAGTCCTTGATTACTGAATTCTTTAAGACATTACAAGAAGAAAAATAAATAATTACCTGCCCTCTGCTTCTTAGCTTAGTAATAACCTCCTTTCAGCACTGCTGTTGCTATGTGGGGTGAAGAAGCTTTGCTCAGAGCTGCTTAATAGAATACCTTGGTACACGGTTTCCCTCGAGCAGGTTCACCGCTGTGCCAGCATTACTAAGATCATCCAGTTCACATCACTTAAAATGCACAACATCCTCCTCCTTTTTATAGAGGTATAAATATAAAGGCTTCCTGGCTACTGCAAATGACCCTGGGCTGAAAGTACTGGTAGAGAAGGGAAGGATAGAAGAGGAGGGAAGGATAGTGGGTTGAAGGGGACGTGGTGATTCTTCACCCTCAGGTCAGCTCTGCAGCCAGTGCTTGCTTCTTGCCCCTGTGTGCTACTTTGCTTGACCAGGTCACTCGGCCGGTTCACCACTGGCAGAAGCAGAAACGAGTGAAGCTGCTGAAACACCAGTGACCAGAGAGGGAGGTTGTGTTGCAGTTTTGTTTACTTATTAAAAGCCCTTTGCTAAAAGGGCATTGGATGATGCTCTTTGTTTGCAGTGCTGGGTAGAATGGCTCACTGGTGAAGATTACAAGTTTTATTTCCTTGGTAACTTGGATTTAAGATGTGATCACAAATTCAGTTGCCTTTCTGTGCTCAAAATCCCCATAATCATGAGCTGTGTGGTCAGATGCACCCCTTCAAATTCAGCTATTCACAGTATAGAGTCTATCTGTGAAATATCTGTCTAGACTTTGCTTTTAGTTAAAGGAGAGAAATAGCTGCTCCTGGAGTGTGATCCATCTCACCACAATGTGCTGTGGGCCTTAAATAGGTCAGATGAATTGGACTCAAAGTCTGTATTTCTCTCCATTGACTTTAAGGCAGTCTAGAGAAGCAGCTCATGTAAGGTTATTTGTTTTGTAAAAAATCCAGTATTAAGTATTGTCAGTCTGATCCTGAATGTCTCAGTTACTTGCATCTAGTTACTGCGTGTAGTTCTGATCAGTTTCTCCCACAAAGCCATGTTTGGGTGTTACTGTGAGGGCACAGGCTGGTATGAGAGGCAGTCTTGAAGTTGAGGAGCCTGTGTGTTTAAAATAAATATATGTGTGTATATGCATACATTATTTATTTAATTATTTTGAAAATGGACATTTTAGTTACTAATTAAAAACTAAAAGAATTTTTAAATAAAAAATGCAACCGAAATAAGGCTTTCCTGTTCAGAACTAACAAGATATTCCTTTTCATTACATGTAAGAAAGGGTGTACCATTAACTGATATAGGGAATGGGCACAGATTTCAAAATAATACATTCTTTCAAATGTGTGAAGACCGTATCTGTTTGTGTGACAGGTTTTGGAAGCACTGAAGTACAAAAATATATTTTTGAACTAGTGATTTAGATAAATGTGAGTTTTCCTGAAAGCACTGTGATTAAGAAAGACTTTTCCTTGTTTCAGAATGGAACTCTGAGTCTGTGCACTGGCCGAAATTATACAGATATATCACACTTTGATGCGTGTTCAGTTTTTTTTTTTTCCTTTAAAAAAGCTATTTTATTGAGGCTAAATTATTGTAGGGATATGAAAAGGTATAGTTTGCTCTGAATTTATCCTTGGAGGGCCAGCAGATCATTGCTTTTTCTCTGAAATTAGATAGAAGGCTCCAGATGGCAGATTTCAGGCCCATCAGGTGTTTAAAATATGCCCCTCAGCTAAAAAGAAGTATTATAGTTAAATCTGTCATGGTCTTTTTATTGCTCTGTGGTACACTTGACAACTGCAGCCGCGAAAGAGGGAAGCTGCAAGTACCCCAGTCGGCCTGAGGTGGAGCAGGTCAGTGCTTGGTTTTCTTGGCGGCCTTGCAGAGTTTGATAGATGTACAGACCTGCTTTATGGAATCATTAAGTCCATCATGGCGTGAGCTCCCATGGAGGCAGTGAATTTGTTCCCATACTTTCTTCCAGACTCTGTGGCAGGCATTAGTGAAGTAATGTAAGTGAAACAGAGGGGAGAAAAAGGACACCTTCCCTCCCAACAAAACAAAAATCCCGTGCCTATAAAGACTCCTCAGTAATAGTAATAATAATAAAGTGCATCTGGGCTGGTGTCTTGAGCTGCATTTCTGGGCTGGCACTTGTTCAGACCTGTCATGCAAGGCTGAGAGCTGATAATTCATATCCCAGAATCCTTTTATCTGAGTGGAGTGATGTCTCCAGTACGTGTACTTCTTCCAAAGGAGTTGCAGTGCTTTTCAAAAATCATAAAAAAGCAATACAGGCTTTCCTTTGCATCTTGACAAACTGCTAGTAATCATGAGGAATGTAAACCTGTTTCTGCACTTGCAGTAACTAAAAGTTCTCACAGTCAAGTCTGCTTTCAACACAGAGAAGACTGCTGCCTGATTCAGAAGAGGATAAACCTGGATTGCTTATTTTTCTGCACAAGTAGATGTTTGTATAATCACTGATCTGGGGACACTGATATAGTTCTGGCATCTTTGTTTCTTCTTTCATCTTTCTCCATTTTTTTTTTTTTTAATGAATAGTTGAAGGGCAAAAACTTCATTTAATCAATAAAACATAGAGAAAGATGGTATACAACTTGATGTGCCTTAGCAAAAGATTCACTTAATCATAGGAAAAACCAAAACCTTTGTCCAGAATATCATAGAACTGTAGTCCTGCATTAGCAGTCTCTGATAGCTCTGGTGAATTTTTAGAGGTAGATTTGAGAGTGAATGAGTACGACTGGTGTGAAATGAAGTGTCATTAGTGATGCCTTTTTCTCGTGAACATTATCCCGCAACAGGGTTGTTGTGCATTGACTAATGTGCTAATGTCTTAACTTTCTTTGGTTTCAGGTTCCAGCAGGGTGACTACCACATTGATGTGTGCATTAACGACTACCTGGATGTATTCTGCCCTCACTATGAAGATTCGGTGCCAGAAGATAAGACCGAACGCTATGTTCTGTACATGGTGAACTTTGATGGCTACAGCTCCTGTGATCACATTTCCAAAGGGTTCAAGAGGTGGGAGTGCAATCGGCCACACTCTCCGAATGGACCGTTGAAGTTCTCAGAAAAATTCCAACTCTTCACACCCTTCTCACTCGGATTTGAGTTCAGGCCAGGCCGGGAGTATTTCTACATCTGTGAGTATAGGAGATTTACCATTGTTGCTTAGCAGGTGCAAGAAACGCAGCTAGTTTTTCACCTATACTCTGTGGAAATGCAGAGGGCCAAACTGTGTATAATGCAGATGTTTTGCAGCGAATGCAGGCTTAAGTATCCCCAGATATATTATCTAGGAATCTCGCTTGTGGAAATGAGATTGAATCACAGCTTCTTTTCTCACATGAAATAGCATGTCAGCCTGTTCACTGAACTGTGGCTAACTTTTAAAGCACAATGTGCTGCTACATTTAGTGCACTATGCTGAAGTGGAGGAGCAGGCAAGAAAGGAAGGGTGGAAGCTTAACCCATGTATGTGTAAAAATAATTAATTCTTTATGTGTGTAATACCTGGATTACTGTTTAGATTAAGTATTCTTTTCTTTGTAATGTTTATCATCCCTGAGAAGTAAGGTCTGTCTTGCTTGTGAGCAATATAGCTGCTGATTGTAGCCAGCTATTTCGTAGCCCAGGAGTATTTGAAGTGGTGACTTCTGAAGGCAAGCCTCTCTAGCACCAAACCTCACCTGTGGTTTCAGTCAACTCCCAGCCTGTGCAAGGCACTGGGAACGCTGGGAACCCACCTGGCATGGGAAAGCAGTTGAGGACCTTCAAGCCCCAGGGGTGAGCTGAGTGGTGCCCTGCAGTTACCACTGCTGCAGCTATCATATTTGATTGATCCCCCACCTAAGACCTTGTTTCCACAATTTGTTTGATACCTAAATCTTCCACTTGTTAATAAGCTTTGACTGTTCCAGCAACACTTTTTGTAGGTTTTAGTGTTCAGATAGAGGTTTGAAAGCTGTAGATCATAGTAGGTACCAATAAGTACTGCTCTCATATGTGGTGTTGGCCTTTCTACAGTGGAACACAACTTCTATCTTATTTCACCAGGGAAACTGAGTATGTATGATCCCTGTTTTTCAGCCTCATTTGTTCAGCTCTGAGATTGTTCTTCTCCCTTTCTAACTCTACTGAGAAATGTATTCCTGGTGGAATTCTCTCCCTTTTCTCCCAGCAAATCAAATCCTCTAATAAGTAGCAATTCAGCATCAAAAAAACAGTGAATTATTCTTGTTCTGAAGCACAGTAATAATAATGATAACAGCAAACAGTAATATTGCTTACAGTTTAAAATATTTACATATTTAAAAAAATTAAAATTTTAATTTTAAAATTATTAATTTTTTTAATAATGTTTAATATGAGGTGGATGATATTATGAGGATAGTGTTTAGGATAAATAAATTTGTATTGTGCGTGCCTGGTCTTTCTCATGTCACTCACAAAAAACATTCCCGTTAACGTAAGCAGGAGTTTCAGGTTACTCAAAACCCTGATACTAGACTCCCTGTGATACTGTATTTTTATGTGTTTATTTGTTTGTTTTTAATTCAGTTCCTGATCATCATCATTGAAACAGTCATACTTAATCTAAGGAATGAAATGTCTTTACCATGGTTTAGCACAAGGATGACGCCAGTATCTACTAACATAAGAGAAGTAATAATAAATATACAAATATTGATAGAAATGTGGGGGGAAAGATGGGAAATCTCAACTTGGTCTATCTAGCTAATAGATTGATTGTTAAGATAGACAAAACCCATTGAATTCTCAAGCAAGATATTATAATTCAAATACACCCAGGGCACTTACGCCTAGTTTTCCTCATTTCTGGTTAAATTCAATATTTCCCTAAAAATCATTATGCATATTCTCTAATGTTCATTTAACTGACTCATTTAACTGTCAAGGGTTCCCTTCAAAATAATTTTCTAAAATGGTTTAAAATATGAAGAGCTTTATGATATTCAACTGAGTTTAGATTTAGTTATTTTTTAATGAAGGATAAAACAGCAAAAAAATTAGCAGCAAAGAGATACTTGCTTACTAGTATTTTATTGTCCTGGTAGTCATTGAAATTAATTAGTAGCCACATTTCCAAAACATGGAAGCATTTTTTAAGTTGTCAGCCTTTGGACTGCTGAGGATAACACTGATGATACAGCAGTTATAGGGAACAGAAAAGCATTAGAAGCAAAGTTTTTCTAGGCAGAGTTGTCATGCTGGTACGTTTTTCTCCTGTCTGTGCCGAAGAAACAAGATGGTGAAACATTGTTCCTTATTTTTTTATAATTGTCAGCAGGCTGTAGTGCAGGCTGCAGAGACTGCCTTAACTACCTCCCTGTATTTGCATGATAAGGAAATCGCCAATGAAGTTTCTTTCCTCAGCGTGTCTTAAACTTTTGCCCTCTCTGCTGGAGAAAGGGAAGGCTCACCATATAACCTGCTGTGTTCTGTTAAAGGATACAAAAAAGCCATGTAGCCTAGACCTGTGGGAAGACAAAGTATTAAGTGGTTAGTTAGGTTTTTTTCTTAATTATTGTCTGTTTGGTGTTTTCTGAGTCTTAGAACTTTACTTTTTAAAGTAGCATGTCTCTATTTTCCATTCTTTCCAGGAAATGCAATAATTCAAAAACAATGTCAGACTCTTTTCTGAACTGTTGGTTTCTGAAAATGCCACTTTCCTTTCTTAAGCCATACTTTCATGTATTGCATATATATGAACTTGAATCTCACTTCTTTGCATAGTTATTCCACGAAAATACAGTGCCAGAAAAATCTGGCTTTCTGATTTCAAATTCGTATTGAAGAAGTGAATTGCAGACATGCAATCAACAAGTACTGATCAAGTTTATTTTTGATAGAAGAAGAAAAGTTTATGAAATGTTCAGAGTGAAAATAATTTTTATTTAATTAGGTAGTGTGTAGTGGGGGAAAGTAAATAATAAATTGTGACCAGAAGTCTCAGTTTTTTCATAGTTCTTAACATGCAGTCACCTGAGATTATTGTATGTTGGCCTGAGAACAGACAAAAAAGTACTACTGTAGCAGGTGTCACTAAAATATATTAAAAGTGGAAAGTAAACACTTAGTGATGTAAATGTGATTTTCATGCCCATTGGTATGGAAAGAAGTTTGAGTTTGAAAGATATGTTAAGAGGTGTTACTGTGCAAGGGCAGATGAACTCAAAAGGAAACAAGGGTAAAAAAGATAATGAAGTGTATGATATTATATAATTAAAAGTGAGGGTATTGCTTTCATTTTCATAACTTAATTATAGGCATTTTATTTTTTTTAAGGTAGTATATATGGAATAAAATATCAGTAATAGCTTGGCAATTACACAATCAGAGCTAATAAAACAAAAAGATGAAGACACATATGTAACCAGACTAGTACTGATTAATACAGAATTTTGACAGCAGTTTCCAAACCAAGTTCCTCTTCTGATTGAAGTTCGCACTGTTCTTTCTTTGAGAGTAATGTCTCTCAGAGTGTTAGAAGCTGTACTAATATTAAGCTGTAGCATTTAATTCCTTTTTGACACCAGCCCAGTTATTCCATCACAGAATTCAGTATTTAACACATTTTCTTTCTTCACAAATCTATGCTATTTTTATTATCTGATGCTCCAAGTTTTTACATGTATTGTTTACTTACTAATTTGATCATTGTGACTTTTGTCAATTATATATACATACACACTTTTCATAGAGAGACCAGATGTCTTTGTTGGTCTTTAGTCCTGCTGCCACAAGATTTTGAAGGATTTTGCTAGCTGTTAGCATGCTTTACATGCAACTTACCTAAACGCACCTTATGTGGTTCTTTCCCCATACTTTCTGTGGAATACAGCTCCTTTCAACTTTTAACAATCTTGTTGTCTTATCTGTTGTTTTTATTGTTGTTGCTGTTGTTTTTTTAAATCTTTTTAGTTAGTGTTTCTTTTTAGTTTTATGTCATTTATTTTTATGAAGCTTTTGATTGCTGGTTCAGGAAGCATTTGTTGTAATGATGTGCTCCTGATCACAACATGATAGCATGCTCATATGATTTGAATTTAATTATGGATATAAACCTTTTTAAATAGACCTTAAACTTGTGATTAAATCAAGAAATTGAATTTGTGAGGTTTTCGTTAGAGTTTTAAATACAGGGGTTTTATTTGTTGTTGTTGTTTTCTTTTAATCCAGCTTTCCTGTATTCCTTTTCCCCAGAGATACATTTCTGGGAAAAACTGTTTTTAATTTGATCCTTGATTTTCTTAAAATTTGCCTTTGTTCACCATTGTCTTTGTTCCTCTGAATTAGTTTCTTATTATCCTGAAATTTCTGACTCATCTCCCCGGAGGGCTTTTATTCAAATGACATTCCACATTGATGGTCTCTGCTTCTTCTTGGGAAGAGAATTCTCAGAATTTCAAATATAAAATTGTGCATCTTCTGTTCCATCTCTGTAACTGGAAGGTGTCCCCACTGTGGGACTGTTTGAGTCCTCATTTTTCACCAGTGTCTGCCTGGTAGCTGGACCATCTCACTACAACCACCTGCATACCTCTGGTAGCTTCTGTGACTCAGAAGATATGAAAGATAAAGGTGTAGCAAAGAAGAGTGTTTATTATACCTCCAGTTCTCTCTGTGTTGTTTCTGCCTTTTAGCTGAGTAGCTCTTTAATGGTAATAAGGCTTTTGGTTGAGCTTTTGGTGAGGCAGCAGCAGTGTCTTACATTCAGCTTTCTCTCTTCTGTCATGTCTGGAGAGTATGTTTAGTGTTTATTTGCCTTTTGTTTCAAAGCTAATTATTTCAGAGCTTATTTTAAAGTTCCTACTATTACGTTGCATAACTTCCGTTCTCTGCATCTGATATGTTTTTGGTACATACAGGATCTGTACTGACATATTTTCTCTAGGTGGCACCAACTGAATTCCTGAAGAGGGAGAAGAGCATGAAACTGTCACTGCTTGGTGGTGGTGGTGGTTGTGGTAGGGATTTTTGGTTATTAAAAATAATTATGTACAAAGTTTAGAAGTCTACTTCAAAGTGAGGAATTTTATGTATGCTTAATGCATACCAGGAGTTAGCAAAGGAAAGGCACTGACCACTTTTAATAAAAATTAACATACTTCTTAAAACT